ATGCAAACTAGAAAATATATTTTAAAAAAAATTCCAGTCTGCTAGTCTTCAATCACTCAGTTATGCCTGAAGGCTGGCCTTTCCCTGGTCAAGTGACCTCTCAGTACATAGTCTCATGGCCTCTTCCCTGCTTGGCATGTGTTTCAAACCACTTTAGCTCTGTTGATGAAGTCCCTAAAAGCACACCCCTCTCCTAACAAGCCAAGGCTTGTAGGTGCTCAGCCTTAGCTCCATGGTCAGCAAGTCTGGCTGCCTGGCCAGTGCCCAGAGGCATCCCATTCCACCAGCACACCCCTGCATGAAGGCGAGCAGCATGCTTGTTTCACTGGCTGGGAAGACCGGTGCTCTGTCCCTCAGCAGTCTCCCAGATTTTCACTGCGGCCATGTCTAGTTCTGAGTTTCTCTGGCTCCCCTTCTTGCTGTGTTGTTGATGTTATTATGGTGTTACAGCTCTGCCCTCTGGGTCACAGTTTGAGCACAGGAAGCTCAAGTCCATAGGATGTACTCCACTCCTGGCTTTTATTTCTTGATGGTAGTGGGGTCCCACTTTTCTGCCTCTGGGGAAGCACACTTCTAGCCGAGTGGGAGATAAAACAAATGTTCACGTGATGGTTGCACACACTTGATTTGCGCAGCCCTACCCCAATTGTGTGATCCACCTTCTTTACACTGTTAGTAGGCTGTGCGGCTCTTGGTAAGCCACAAACACCTCAAATACCTAAAGTCTTGTCCATTCCTTGGTGGGAGTGTAGAGATTGCCTAGAAGAGCCTGGTTAAGGAATTCACTACATGGCAGATTCTGTAACCTCAGAGGGCAGTGTCAGAAATGGCACAGGATAGGGCAGGGTTCAGGTTGGCTCTTCATAGGGTTGCTACGGGTCGTACTCACCAGCACTTAATAACAACAATATTGTGGTGGTGGTGTTGTTATGTGCCATCGAGTTGCTTGTGACTCATGGCGACCGTATGTACAAGAGCTCTGTACGTTCTTCTTTCCTGTTATTCCCACCTCTCCGGTCACAGAATCAATCCATCTCATCAAAGGTCTTCCTCTCCTTCGCCGCCCCTCCACTCTGCCAAACATAATGTCCCTCTCCAAGGACCAGTCCCTCCTTGCAGCATGCCCAAAATATGTCAGACAAAGCTTCAGAATCCTTGACTCCAGGGAACATTCTGGCTCACACTCTCCAGGAGGAACCTGTTTGTTCTCCTAGCAGTCCATGGCATATTCAACACTCTTCTCCAGCACCACAGCTCAAAGGCATCAATTCTCTTTCTATCAACCCTATTCACTGTCCAACTCTCCAAGGCATAGCACATAACTGCGAAGACTATAGCCTGGATGAGGCGCACCTTAGTCTCCAGACTGACATCTTTGCTCTTCAGTACTCTTCAGAGGTCCCTCACAGCCGACTTTCCCATTGCAATTCGTCTCCCGATTTCCTGGCTGCTGTTACCATGAGTGTTGACTGTGGAGCCAAGTAAATTAAAACTGTTAACTAAGTCTCTTCTCCATCCATACTGATGCTGCCAGTTGGCCCCGTGATGAGAATCTTTGTTTTCTTGATGTTGAGCTTCAGTCCATATAGGAGGCTGTAGTCCTTGATCTTCTGCAGCAAGCGTTTCAGGTCCTCTTCAGTTTCAGCAGCAGGGGTGTGTCATCTGCATAACACAGGTTGTTGATAATTCTTCCACCAATCCTGATGCCACATTCCTCTTCGTATAGCCCAGCGTCTCGGATGATCTGTTCTGCATGCAGATTGAAAAGGTATGGAGACAGAATACATCCCTGATGAACCCCCTTCTTGATTTTGAACCATATAGTGTCTCCTTGCTCTGTTCTGACAACTGCCTCTTGGTCGAAGTATAGGTTTCGCATAAGCACCATCAAATGTTCTGGGATTCCCATTCTTCTCAGAGTCAGCCACAGCTTATTGTGATCCACACAGTCAAAAGCCTTTGCATAGTCAATGAAGCACAGATAGACATTCTTCTGGTATTCTTTGCTTTCTGCTAAGATCCATCTGACATTAGCTATAATATCCCTAGTACCACAACCTCTTCTAAATCCAGCCTGCACATCTGCCAGTTCTCTGTTGACATATTGTTCCAAACGTTTTTGTATAAATTTCAGCAGAATCTTGCTTGCATGTGATATCAATGATATTGTTCGATAATTTCCACACTCTGTTAGGTCACCTTACTTTGGAATGGGAACAAATATCGATCTTTTCCAGTCAACAACAATAAGAGTTATTAAATTTATAATTACTTTAAAATTCATAATTCTGGTATATCTATAGTCATATTCACAACTAAAAAGCAACTTTTTGCAGTCGAGTTGGAACTGACTCATTGCTGCAAGTTGTCAGAGGCCGTAAATCACACAGGCGGAGATTGCTCATCTCTCTTCCTCAGGGTGTCTGGTAAATTCTAACTGCCTGCCTTTGAGTCGATAGCACAGCTCTATCCACTAATCCATCAGAGCACTCTCATGTCCTAGTGTAGAAAAATGTGATTCCTTTTACTCTTTCAAGTTAGAAAATCATGTTTATTTCACATGTAGAAGGGCTGATGGTACAGCATGAGAAAGAGCTTGGGCTGGAGCTGGACGTGGGCCCTTCCAGGGCTGTGCCTGCAGGTCCAGCAGTGTTGGTGCACAGCAGGCCACCAGGCTGGCACACCCTCCACACGCCAAAGCCGGTGACTTCCAGCAGGGTGGAGATGCAGGATTGCTATGTTGCAGACTCCCACACTCACTAAGCTAGAGAAGTAAACCTTTGAAATCCAAGCCAACAGATTGTAGTTTCATCATTCCAGGACTAATTATAGAATTTCTGCCTTGAAGCAGCCCCTGTGGGCAAGCATGGCTGTGAATGCCCAGGGACTGACTGCATGAGAGGCAGCCAGTCTGGGAGGTGTTTGTGGAGGGTCTGACTGAGGAGGACCAGTGAAGATCTCATTTATGAAAAGGAATAAAATGGGTTTTGCTGAGCTGAAGACTTAAGCAATGTTGTTGTTACTGTTAAGTGCCAGCAAGTCACAGGCGACTCCTAGCGACCCTATGAAGGAGAGTCCTCAACACTTGTGTGTCTTTCATCCTCTCTCCAGGTTCATAGGGTTTCCAGAGGCAAGGTATTACGGAAGTGGATGCCACTCCTGCTTCCAAGCTTGTTTTAATCGGGAAGCTCCACCCCACTCTCTGTCTGCATTGGTAACCAACCAATAAGCAATAGATGTCGGTAATTTATGGAAACGGCCAAGATGGTGGGGCCATGGCTAATGGGGATGGAGAGAAGGCCTGGGCCATGGGCAGCTCTGTGGTCAGATGGGAACATGGGAGGGAGGAATGCTCCGGGTCACCTTGATGACAGCATGCTGCATCTGTCTTCTCTCTCTTTTCTGATTGATGCCGAGACACTTAAGAGTCATTGTGCCAACAAGAATTCCGTTTATTAAAACCTTCCCATAATCTCTTGGTAAAGCTGACTCTATAAAAGTAAAAAGGATCTTGGTTTACAAACTAATGGAAAAGTCCCGGTTTGTTTGCCTTCATTTGTCACATTGTAGCAGAGGACGTTTCATTATAACGTGAACAGAAAATTACTATCTGACTAATAACATAAGATTAAAGACCCCAGGCATAATAATGTCAGACACATCGAAGTATGTGAAAAATGAAAGCAAAACTCTGGCAGGGTTTATCAAAGGACTTCAGCCCTAAGTCATGCCTCAGTTTACCTGCTCTCACAATTTGAACAAAAAATAACTTTCCTTCAGTTGTAAATGGAAAAGGAAAAGATGATTCCTTCATACCTCCCTAAGAAAGTATAGGGAAACTGTAACATTAATTTAAAACTCAGAGAAATATTATCTTTTTATATTAACTATTAAGGCAACATAGTTGGGTTCACATCTTCAGCCCTCTCCCCTGTGTTAATAGACTTACGTAGTTTATAATTCGAAATGCCTTTTCTAGAGACCGAATTTGACTTTTCCGTGTGGATGAGTGGGAATATGAGAATAGGGCATGTTGACCTATCCATACGGGGGTTGGCTAGCCCCACCCCTCCACAAGGGGATTGGCTAACCTCATCCATCCACAAGGCTATTGGCTAGCCCCACCAACCCACGAGGGGAGTGGCTAACTCCCTCCACAAGGGGATTGAAGATCCCCACCAGTTCACAAGGAGATTGGCTAGCCTCACCTATCCACAAGGGGATTGGCAAACTTCACCATGAAATTAAGCAGTTCCAACAGCAGAATTCAATCATCTGGAAGAATAAGGAAGAGAATATAGTATGCCCTTTGGGCCCAGAAATTCTTGCTCCAATTGCTGAACCAGAGAACTAACATGAGATAGAACTACCTTGGTACAGCTACACATCCCTGACAGAACCAGAGCTAAAATGTGCTGGCTGAATTACACTTCTAACCTGTGAGCTATCACATTGGATTTTGGTCCCAGTAAAACAGTAAGATTGGGGTTGAGATGAGTAGAAAGAGATGCAGGAGCATGGGGGACATGTCTGACCTCATGGGAATGGATTTTGAGTTGTTTATGCTAATAACAAGGCCAGTTCTGCTTTGTGGAGTTGGTAAAGTTCAGATATGGCCATCCTCACGTGTCCATTGGTCTTTTTTACAGGCATGCATATTCTCACATGTTGCCTTGGAGTCAGAACTGACTCATAGCTGACCCTCCACTGGGTTTCCACGTTTGTAACCACATGGGAAGACACTGTCCATCTTTATTTATCCTGAAGAGCCGGTGGTGGATTTGAACCACAAGAAAGGTGCTCTAGGCCATCAGAGCTCATAATACCTAAAGGACCAAAAGTTAAGGAAAGCTAAATGGAATCATTCAGACACAAAGTAACCTGATAAACCTTTACATGGGAGCATTCTCTTTTTCTTCTTGACCCTCCCCCATCATTAAGAGTATTGTATTTATGGTTTCAAATTGTAATTCCTAGTGTCACTTTTCCATTTCTTCCAGAGCTTCTTTGAAGGGCAGTCTGCACCATGGGACTCTGCTAAAAAGGATGAGAACAGAATGAAGAACAGATATGGGAACATCATTGCGTGTAAGTATCAGCAGTGTGATTGTGCCATTGTAGAACTTTCTGTTGCATCTCGTACGGTCGACCCTGAGCCTCATGCACGGAGAATTTACAGTGCAGTTATCTAAGATCTGGGTAGCATAGGTGCTGCTGTAGTCCTGGGAAAGAAAATGCATTTGAGAAGGAGTAAACATAACAGGCCTAATGTTCCCAGCTGCTACAGCAGAATGAACAGGAATAATGATACACAGCATGCCTTGGTGCACGGAGCTACAGCGCTCTGCAAACATTAACTCATTAATCCTTCAGACACATGGCGTAGGTAGGTCAGTAATAGCCCCATTTTAAGGAGAGGAAACTGAACCTCGAAAATTAAATGATAGTCCCCATATCACAACACTCATTAGCAAAGGAGCCAGGATTGTATCTCAGAAACTCCCAGTTGCTGTGAAATTGAATGCTACCAATCCATAATGGCTTGGCTGGTTTTTTAATCTAGCCAAAGCTCATTAATGTCTTGTAATGATGCTGAGATACTTGATGCATTGATGAGTCTGCTTCCCCCGGGGTTCCAGCCATCCGTCCTGCTCTGAACAGTCCTAAGTCATGCTTGGCTGCACCACAGTCCTAGCAGCTGCACTCTGGTAGCCCCACTGAATCAATGCTGTTTATAAAAGATAGCTAAAATAAACAACAGAAAAAATGAGAATGGGCCCAGAGATCCTCTAACTCATCATTTCTTATCATTTGCAAGAGAACAAAATTCAAAGATTTGAGCATTCCAGGGGAGCAAGATATTAGGTTTATTGATTGTCAAAGTGCTGTTAAATTTTATTTGCGTGAATTAAGATTTCTTACTCTGAGAGCGCTGATTGCACCGCAGCACTGCCCTACTGAATTCCCTCTGATGGTGGGAAAGGAAGCGCAAAAGGAGGTTCATGGGGCCTAAGAACGAACTTTTACATTTATTCAGTGACAGTAATTTTAAATCTAAATACTGTATAAGATTGTTGCTGTTAATGTGTTGACACCCTGTGATCAACAGATCTGAAACTTGCTCTATTCGACACCATCTTAATGTTGTCAACATGATCAAGCCCACTGGTTACGTACAGTCCATCTCTTTGAAGGTCATCTTCTCCTTCACTGACCATCCACCTTTCCCAGTGTGATGTAGTTTTCAAGGACTGGTCCCTCGTGACTGTCATGTTGTTGTCAGATGACACTGAGTTGAATGTGACTCATAGCAACCCTATGAAGAATGGATGTGAACCCTGAGGTGTCATCCTCACTATGCCTATTGTAGTAGATCCCATTGTCATAGTCGCTTTGTCAGTTCTTGTTGAGAATCTTCCTCTCTTTCACTGACCTTCCACCTTTCCTAGCATTTTGTCTTTTTCAAAGGGCTGGCTTCTCAAAGTAAATGAGGTAAAACTTTACTTTATTTGCCCGTAAGGACTATACTGCTGTACTTACTCCAAGACGTACTTGTTTGTTCTTTTGGCAGTCCCTGAGAGATTCAGGAATTCTCTCTAACACCAGAACTCAAAGGTACTGACTGATTGTTCTGTCATCTTCATTCCGTGCCCAACTTTCACATGTGTGGGAAATAATTGAAAAGACCATGGCTTGGATCAAATTCACTTTAGTTTTTAAACTGCCATAATTGCTCTTCAGCACTTTGGAGAGGTTCTTAACAGCAGAGTTCTCCAAAGTAACATGTCTTTTGATTTCTTCACTAGTGTTAATTGTGGATCCAAGTAGATGAATTAAATCCTTGACAACTTCAATCTTTTCTCCATCTGTCATGATAATCGCCTTTTGGTCCAGTTAATGAACACTTTTATTTTCTTCATGTTGAATGACTGTTATATTAGACACCACAGTCTATACCATGTTTTGGTTTGTTATTTTGGGGGTTTTATTTGTGTGTGGGATTTTTAAAAAGAAAAGGGTAAATTGTAATTGATACAGCATGGTGCATTCCAGCCAACATGGCTCCACCGTCTCTTCGGCCACTAGTGAAGCCAGTTCACTGGTTTTGCAGATAAAGGACAGATGGTAGTTCCCGCTCTCATTCTGTGTGATGGCACAGTGCTAATGGAGACACAGAGCATTACTGAGGCTCAACAAAGGAAACTGACGTTTCTCTCCAGCTGTTGGTCATAGATAGAGTACTTTGGCCTATCTAAGCCTTTTCCACACTCCTTCCTATTCCCTGGGAGCCTACAGAAGCTTCACACTGTTATAGGAGCGTGGTTTTCACCTCTCAGGAGTTTTTTCAGCTCTTAAACAAACTCTGAGGGGATTCACAGAGATTTAAATGGGATGACAGTGATCTCCAGGGTGTTGGTGAACATTGCCCTTTAGTCTGTAGGACGCTGCACTGAGAACTAAAAAGCTACTTGTCTATTGTGGTTCAAATCCAGCAAGAATTCAAGGGAGAAAGATAGACAATCTCCTCCTGTTCCGCTCCCTGGAGAAGGTCACTCTAAGTAAAAAGATTCCTCCCACTGCCCACCCAGGAGATGGCTGCCAATGGGTGTGGTTTGAGGTGTGCAAGATGGGCGGTTGAGTCTGTTCTTTCTTGGCGCTTGGATTAATTACCACACATGCAGACATTTAAGGAGTATTTTTTTTAATCATTCATATTTAAAAATAAATGGGCAGAAGTCATGGAAAGACTTTTCACAGAGGAAGACATTCAGGTGGCCAACAGACACATGAAGAAATACTCAAAATCACTGCCAATAAGAGAGATGGGGGGGAGGGGAAGAAAGTTGAACCAAAAGAACTGAAATGATTGAACAATATATTTAATATCACAAGCAAGTAAAGCTTGCTGAAAGTATCTTTTTTAAAGTTGCTGTTGCAAACAAAGAATTTCCAGACATTCAACCTAGATTCATAAGAGGATATAGAAAAAGGACTATTATCTTTGGTGGGATATTATATTCTGTGAAAGCTGAGAATGTCAGTATGATATTTACTTGTATTTCTTGACTGTGTGGAGGCTTTCAACTGTATATATCATAAAATTTTTGGATAATAAAAAAAAGAGATGAAAATCAAAGCCACAATGAGATACCATCTCACCCCAGTAACAGCGGTAAAGTTTAACAGGACAGCAAGTATTAAATGTTGGAGAGGCGTGGAAAGATAGGAACTCTCATACAGGTGTTGGTGAGGTTGTAAAATGATACAGCCACTCTGGAAAACAGTTTGGTGTCTTCTCAAAAAGCTGGACTTAAACATTCCATATGACCCAGTTATTCCACTATAAGTACTATGTTGTTGTTATGTGCCGTCGAGTCACTTGCGACTCATAGCAACCCTATATACAACATCACTAAACTCTGCTCTGTCCTGTGCCAATCGCACTGTCTCTGACACTCCCATCCCAATTATCCCAGTCACTGAATCAATCCACCTCATAG